TGGTGTGTCGGTGGCCTGCACAATCTAAAGAGTACAGCAGTCTGATGCAGAGAGCCACGGAGATGTCCAGCAGCAGCTGTTGAGCCTTTTCCAGGCAGTCCATTTGATAAAAGCATTCGATATTCACCTCTCATGTTTCATGAGGTGTTGTGTAGAAGTAGAAGCACGAGTCTAGGAGACTTACTAGGGAGACCTGGATTTTTTTTTAATTAACTTTTTTATGAAGATTTGTTCACAAAGCTATAGTTTCCCCCAAAGAAATTATGGTCCATTTCATAGTTGTTTGTAATTCACACACAAATCTCTCATATCAAGGTCCTCATTAACATGTCGCCATCACTTGCATCATCTACGTTTATCTGCATTTGTCTCGAAGCAAAAAATGACTTCCTGTTTCTTAGAGTTCTGTTTATTTTTTTCATTTTGAAAAATAAACAAAATGACTTTTTTTCCCTCTCCATCCGGCCAAGACTGAAATAACTCCTTACCATGACCTCAGAAAAAATAAAAAAAAATCACCATTTTGCACTGTAATCATATCTGGCCCAACAGCCAGTTGAGTTTCTGATTTTGGAGCTTGACGGCAGGTGGTGGTTTGGGTCACTCCACCTTTGGATGGTTCTTCAGGGATATGGTCAAGACAAAGTAGTGCCCCCCCCCGTGATTAAGGGCCCTTGGGTGTGTCACTAATCAGTATGTCACTATTTCCATCTCTGCATGTCTGTGAATTACCCTGGTTTTATGCTGGGGTTGTAGGAGCTTTCAGGAGCTGTGGGGAAAGTAATGATATAGACCCTGTAGCTTCCTAAAGTGATTTAAGGACACACGAAGTCACTCATCAGCATTTCAGTTTCTTTGTAATGATTTGATCATCTTTGGTATGACTGGTTTTGTTTATGCCACAATAGAGTTGTGAATTTTGCCCTTGTTGTGACATGTTTCTGTCGGCTGTGCACAAAAATCAGCAATCTCTTCCTGAGACAGTGATTCACTGTTTCCTGTGTTTATGATTCCTGTAAATATGTATGATTCATTGAACAAGTAGTGGTACAGTAGCTTTAATAGTTGAGCATTTGAGAGGATTCTAGCAGATCAGTGGCTTGTTCGGACTAAAGTAAATGAGATACAGGAATTGCCTTTTCCTTATGAATATGACTTAAAAATAGTGCCGTTTACATCATATTGCCCCATGAGAACTTTTGAAGCACTGTTGAATGGCAAGACCATAACAAAAAAGCTTTTTTTCTTTCTTTTTTTCAATTTGTAGTATTTGTTTTTTATTTTTATTTTTTTTTATAATGTAACATTTAGGTAGAATATATACTTTAATGGAATAG